CCCCAAAACCCCAAAACCCCAAAACCCCAAAACCCCTGTTTTGTGATAAAATATTGAGTTAAAATTTTTGTCTTTTTAGTGGTTATCTTCATTAATGCAAACCTCCCAAACTGAAGTTGTTGAGAGACATCCCGGATATGCTCTTTCCAAATGGGGAGAACAATGCACTTCCTGACATAAATGAAAGTCCTGAGACTGATTTAGTATCATCATTGTCATCTTTCTGGGAAAGCTCTTGGTTAACCATTCCTCCCACAGTACTAGAACCATCAAGACAAGAGAAAATTTTTCCAAGACTGTTCTTGCTCATTGTCTTTGTATTATATTCAGATTTGACTTTATGAACCTAAAATAATTACTCATAATGCTTACATTCTTAATGTCATCAAGTGAGAAGCCAATAAGGCTATTTGCTAATCCAGCTCTTCCCTTTTTAAGGCTATCTTTCTTTAAAGACTCTGATCATAACCCCTTGGTCTGAGTAAGGTCAACCATGATATGCTTAGCTGAATGTTCAGCTACAATATTATGTTGGGTTCCCCCGTTCTTCTCTGACTTTTTATCTTCAGACTTCTTCCTTTTATGTAATTTCTTGGTCGTCTAGATTTTGTTAAAGCTAACAAATACCTTAGAGAAGTCACTATTTAGTCCCATTGGAGCCCCGAATGGGCTAGCAATCTCACTATTCTTCTGTGCAGATGATCTTGCCTTTTTAGTAGGTGTCTTGAGGCTTTTAGAAAAAGAGTGAGTAGCACCTGAGGGACTATTGTTAAGACTACATGGAGAATTTTTCTCCTCCTCTTTCATTATTTTGGACTTAGACTCTTGGAAAGTCTTTGGCTTTTTGCTCATAATGCCCCATTCTTTGATCAAATCAGTACCCTTCTTAGTAATCAAGTTCTCCATATCTTCTTTAGCAGTTGTGTGAAGCTTGAGGAGTCTTTTATAGATTGCATTTTTAGCATCAATCTTCTTCTGAATTGATTTCAACTTTGACTTATCGTCACCCTTCTTTTTGACTTGAAGCTCGTACTCATTCCCACTGTTGGTTACAACTGTTTCCTTGTAGAACTTAGTAGATTTAAGATTCTGAGCAATCTCATTAGCTCTGATATCAAAACTATCAAGAACATGAAGAGTATCACAATTCTTGTCATCAAGAATGAGCTGAAACATCAGTTCATTCTCATTCATGAGAGTGAGTTGGAATGTATTAGTCCATTCTGGATGAGTCAAGTTGTTTACAACCATACTGTCATAATATTGTTTTCCATTATCTACCTTGTATTTCAACCCAAGACTTTCAGAGTTATGCTTCTTATCTATCTCTTTCTGGTCGTTGATAATAGCGGAAGTTAATTCTACAAAAATATTAGGACAAAATTGTCATAAGGGAAAATAAGAAGGCCTACACATACCAATTTCAATATTAAGAGGGAAGAGAGAGGTCTTCGATGAGATCTTTGACTTCACCATTTTACTCTCTATCAACCTCTTAGAGGTCTTCAGTTGTTCAATCTCCCTAAAGACGTCTTCCTTCTTGTCTTTCTGTTCAAGGTAGTTCTTCTTCCTCTTCTCAAATTCATTCTTGTATGATTCAAGGAAGGCCTTCCTAAATATGAGATAAGATAACCAAATATATATTTTGATTCATTAAAGAAGATAAAGTTGATAAGAATATTCCAGAATATAATGAACCTAATGTTCATATTAAGTCAGGTTTCTAGAAAGATAATAGATAGTTTTAGAAAGTATTGTCAAACCCTAAAATAAATTATAACAATTTTCCATGAATCAACCAAAATACTAAGGTTTCAGCGGTTTTGTCATGACGCATATTTCAAGGTAATCCCTAATAATAACTCACAGAACTTGGTCAACTTCTTTTGGCTTCTCTTGCTTATGAGCTGTCTTAGGCCTGGCCACAGCTTTGTCTTCTTTTTCTTTCCTATTCTTCATTTGCATCTTTGTCTTCGTAGCTATAGAGTATTAAAAGATTCTCAAAAATCTTAGTGGAACCGCTAAGAGGATGGTAAATTTTGGCAGAAAATTGAGGACTTACTTCTCATACTTGCACTCATGGTGACTTTGTTATATCCCTTCTCGACTGAATTCTTTTCTGCAGGGCTGGAATTCTTCTCAGGAATAGTCTCCATAGAAGGATCTACAAGATGATCAATAACATCAGTCTGTGGATTTCACAGAGACTCATCGGATTCAGTAAGATATTTCAGTTCTATGAGTTTCCTTCTGATTTTATCAACACTGGTCTTTTTCAAGGCATTAAAGATCTTCTCTACCTTTGCAACAGCTATAAGACGACTTAGTCATGTTAAAAACTTAGCTCTGGCTAAGAGAGTTCAGAAAATAGCAAGATAAGAGATGAATATTGAGTAGTAACACCCTAAATCTTAGTAGACAATCTTTCATCAATTTTCTCCGAAACCTATCTCTTCAAATAGATGGGATTAAAGAGATGATATATAAATATTAATAAAACGTATGAAATAACCCTACTAGATCTTGCATAATATAGTGAAAAGATGCTCTAACTCACACAAACAACAAAGGTTTATTGATTTTATATGAAACATCAAACCTTATTCTATCTTTAACACTAAAACAAAAATCTAGATAATCAAAAAATACATCCAAACCATGATCTAATTCCTTCAATAACCAATAAGATTCCTCCCACTAACTCCAAACCCCCCTCATCCACCCTAAACCACATCAGCCCTGAACACCCAGCTATATCTGCCTCACCCCATCCCCACCCAACACATCCCCAACAGCCCACACCTATTCCCCCTTGACCCCTCCATCCCAACCCCTCTTCCACCCTCCTCCCTCTCTCCCTACCCCTTACCTTTATGCTTAGCCTGGTCGATCTTAACCTGCGTATCGTTCTTCATTTTATTTTATCACTGCCTCAATTGTATCGCCCCTTATAGGGGTTTTGGGGTTTTGGGGTTTTGGGG